TGTCCCTGCTTGTTGTTGTCCAATTCCACATGTGAATCCTCCAGGTGCCACCTCCATCTGTTCGCAGCTTCCTGTGAGTTCCTGCCCACATATGACTGCCTGGTTAACTCGACACCCCCACCAATCTTAGGGGCGGAGACGTTTTTAAGGGTAGAAATGCTACTTGAAGAAGCCGATCGTATGCTGTTGTGTTTAAAATGAGTGTTTATGTAATTATTTTCAGTCTACATATCCGATATGAGTTTTATTCGTTCAAGGCAGTCATATTTGCTCGTAACTTTATAATTAGTAAGTGAGTTACTGGATCCAAGCAAACAGTTACCGGAATGCATCCTGTCAAAATAAGAGCGTTCCTGGATCCTGTTCCGACAGGATCCGGCTCAAATTAAGCACTGTAGCCGGGCCCTGGGTGTGCTGAAGGGTCTTCACAAAACAAAGGACTGGAATATTTTTTAAATAGTCTGAAAATCATGTTGGGCATACTAATGTGGAAAATACTCTTTATTTTTCAGAAATTGTCATAAAATACGATGGCCCTGAGATGTAAATGAACAACATTTGAAAAAACAGAATTACATTAAGCCAAAGCGGAAGTGGCCAAAGCAGAAGTGGCCAGAATCACATTTGAAGGAAAAATAATAATAATAACATTTGAAAAAATGGAATTACATTAGGCCAAAGCATAAGTGGTGGTTGTGTGTGTGTGTGTGTGTGTGTGTGTGTGTGGGGGGGGGATGTTAGTGTTTTTTTTTTTTTACTTTATTAACATAAAACTACGGTGGCCCTGAGGTGGTTTGGCTTAATGTAATTCCGTTTTTTTTTTATGTATTTCCGTTTATTCAAATGTGATTCCGGCCACTTTTTGGCCACTTCTTTTTGTTGTTTTTGTTGCGTTTTTTTATTTTTTTGATGTAATTCTGTTTTTTCAAACATTGTTCATTTACACCTTAGGGCCACCGTAATAAAATAACATTTTAATGATTAAAAAAAAACAAATGAAGAGATTTATTTTAAACAAAAAACACTTAGATTAAAAATTTTAAAAATTTGTTTAAATTTTATACTTTTATTTCAGATTAAGATAACACTAAAAGGTTCCTTAGTTGTTGTTTTTTTTTTGTGTGGAAAAACATGTATATCTATAAAGTATTTTTAAGCAGTTAAGAGATGTTCAATTGTCACAAAGGTAATGGGGCTTTAGGGATTAAATGTAATTATAAAGGTATTATTTATTATTACAGTCGAACCATTTGATTTAGTGACCAGCTGTCCGTTTAGAGCGTAAAGTTGATTTTAGACTTTTGTCCTTTGCTCTCCAAAGGGTGTGGAGACACAGAGAAGCGGTCCGATGTGAATGTATGCGCATGTGCACGTTTGTGCATGTCTGTGCACTATCACTGAAGACCAGCTCTGTATCTGCAGCTGTCAGCTGTTAGAAAGGCAGAAATTGTCACTTACGTTCTTCTGTGTGTGTATGTACGACACATATGTCTTTAATCCCAACTGAGGAAAACTTCACATATGTAAAAAAACAAAACAAACAAAAAAAAACGCATTCTCTTCCTCTCTACATTCTTCTCCCACGGCTTGCCAAAAGCCTGTGCACAAAGTTTAAAGCTCAGCAAAGCTCGTTCACACTTCCACCTACCTGCCTCCTGAATTCAACATGGTAACATAAACACAGGCTCATATCAGTCCCACAACTGCACATTTTTAATGAGTGTGGCACTGCAGATAGGCTTACTTTGCAAAATAAAAATTATGCTTCTTAATAAGTGTATTAATTTTAAATTCAGGCTATTCAGTATTTTTGTAAGTGCAGAGGGCCCTCAAACCTTCAACTAAATGTAAGAGCAATTTGTTTATATTTGTGTTTGATTACCCCTGCACATAGTAGCTACAGTTTTTAAACAGATATACTTTTTAACACAGCTTTTTAATAAAAAAATAATTTTTTTTACTACAGGGCGTGTAAATCACTTGGGTATCATCAGTAAATATGAACCGAGGTGTATGTAATTGTTGTGTGTAGGTGTCTGAGTCAGATGCTGTTTGTTTGTACAGGTTAGCCTAGATTATGAGAAGGATTCTGTGCTGCTTTTAATGCATCTCAAGGCACAAGTCTTCAGCTCGACCTCACATGAAAGGTTTAGAGCGAGACCAGCCTGCAGGTCTCTGAGCGGCCTTGGGTTTTCCTGTGCAGTCAAGCTGAGCAAGGCAGCTGGGGAGTGAGGTTGGGGGTGGGAGGGGGGATGCCTGGAGTACCTGCTGCAAAGGGTAGCAGAGCAACTCGCAAGCTTTTTTATCTACAGGGCTTCATACGTGTTGCAGCAGCAGTACCGCCGCAGGACTTGTGAACTTCGAGGCCTGTGCAGACAGATATAGACATAAATGCACAAAGTGCAACCTGCCTTTCTAACCATTTGTGAGCATAAATGAACAGGAGATATCTGCAGTGCAAGTAAAAGTAACAGACTAACATTTTGTTGGACCAGCTTTAGCTTTGATTACAGTACAAGTTTGCAGTATACTTAGATAAGCTTTAGCAATGACAAAGCTCTTATTTTATCTCAGATTTGAAGACATATTTTGCCAGGAGCTTCCATTGATGATGGGACAATTAAATTAATATCTAAAGTACGGTATTCTCTGGTCCATTTTGAGGGATTATAAATTTTGCAATGACCATTCAATTAATGAAAATAAAGTCTGTTTCTGGGACCATAGATTATCAAATGATAATCATACACACTCTTCATCCGTATATATTTTAAAAAATAATAATTTTATACCTCTCTTTAAACTGTTGCACATTTTTACTTCACAAATGGAAATACAAAATATTTTACGAGGTGTATGAGCAGTCCTTGATTTATTCAACTGTTCGCCTAATTGATACCCTCTTCCTTTCAGTGATTTTTTTTATTTTTATATTACCTGGTAATAATTTGTTTTTTGCTGTTTGTACATACTTCATTGACACTGATACCTTCACAAATTATGAGTATACAAAATAAACAACTTGGGATCCAATACTTACCCCTGGGGGATGCCACAAATAATGTCCAAACATATATAACTATCACACATCTTCAAAAACTACAAAGTACTTACAGTTACAACTTTCTAGTTTATTCATTGAAATGTTGTGATTTATATTGTCAAATGCTTTCTTCTGATCCAAAAATATTCCAACTGTGTACTGGTTTTGGTCTGTTAAGTTAGTAATTTCTTAAATTCAGTCTATTTGTGCAAGTTCAGTTGACTGGTTAGCTCTGAGTCCGTACTGACCCTCTGTGATTAATTTATGTTTATCAATTAATTTATCCAACCGGTTATAAAATAGTTTTTCTAGTATTTTGGAAAACTGAGGTAATAATGAGACGGGTCTATAGTTTGTGAAGAGGTGTTTGTTCCCAGTTTTAAACAGAGCTGCAACTTTTGCTATTTTCACTTTTGCAATGGTAAGTTCCTACTTAAGTCATTAGTTAAATTAAGATAGTATTTCTTTGTAACAGATAGATAAATATATCACAAAACATGTAAAAAAAAAAATAATATCACAGTCACAGCATGTCAGTAAAGGAAAGCTTATTACCTTTCATGCCACAGTTTTAAACTAAAATCATCTTTTGCTAAGGAGGAAGAAAATTATTACTAATTTGGTCAAACTTTCTAAGGATGCTATGCGCACTCATGTAATGTTGCAAAACCTTGTGAGATGTTAAAATGTACTCAGGATGACTGTCAGCAAGAGTTGCACTCAGATCCAAAAAATCTGACCCGACCAGGGCCCCAGCCAGTAACCATAATTTCCGAACTTCACCTGATCCGACGAATTAACAGTAATTACAAGTCCGAACCCGAAAAAACCCCCCCAAAACAGACATTTTTAATTAAGCTTTAACTGCTTATACTACCGACTGTTATTAACGGTCGGCGGACGAGCGCGGCTGAGTAAAGGGGCATAAGATCGGAGCTGAGGAGCTCTCAAAGCGCATTAAATGCTTCCCTTGCTTCTGCCTGCATTGAACCCTGCTCTGACATGTCGGATATTTTGGGATCTCACCTGTTTGGGTCATGGACCATGTGCGTCCGCTGAGTGCCGCAGCTGAATGAACGTTCATTTGGGCTGATGGTTCGCTGGCAGTAGTCCATCTGAAGCTTAACTGAACTTTTTACCTCTTTCAAGGCCGGTCAACGCACGGTCAAATGGCCACGTGCAGCAGGTGATTGTATGGCAAGCCATGTTGGCATATAATTGGATCGTTGGCTGCGCGCATCCGCTGACACAATCAAAAGCCTGACACTAACCCGGCCCATAAATTAAGCACATTATTATGGCCCTGTCTGAATCCAGGTTGGGCGGGGCCGGGTTCCGGGTTCGGGTTAGAAATGACAGCTCTACTGTCAGCTATTGTTACCACACCAAATTTTACCTGATGTCATTAAAAAGTGGACAGAGTTGGAGCCATTTTTGTGTTTCCTAAGGTCAGCTGGTTGTGGTAGCCATTTTGAATTGGGCTGACTCCAAAAGTTAATCAGTTGTCAAAATACACTTCATTCTCATTCACTGGTTAATGAGATATTTTGCTAACACGAAACAAATCAACACATACACGAGCAAAACATTATTGCCATTTGTTTTTGGCGATGGGCCATTGATAAAAAAAAAAGTGATAATATAATGTGTAAAACTTCATTTTGATGTCCACCGTTTTATCATTTTGTTCACAGATTACAAAGTGATGATCTCTGAGTGCTTCTCTCCCACATATCTATTCCCCTCCCCTCTCCGTAGCTTCTTTCGGCCTAATTGAATTAGTGCCCGGGTTAGCGCTGTGTTCATTAAGATAATGCTGTGTTGTTTACACGCGGTTCCTGCTGCAATTACAGACTCCATTTTTAGTGTTGAACCTTTACACGCAGAAACGGACAACTCATTTGTCTCGTTGATCTCAGGTTTTTGACTTTTCTCCCTGATCCGTCTGTTTTTGCAGAGCACTTTTAAGTTCAAGTCAGAGAGCGATATCCACCTGGCTGAGCACCACAAGCAGGTGTTGTACGACGGCAAGCTGGCCAGCTCCATCTCCTTCACCTACAACGCCAAGGCGACGGACGCCCAGCTCTGCTTGGAGTCGTCGCCCAGGGAAAACCCATCCATCTTTGTGCACTCGCCACATGCACTCATGCTACAGGTCAGTCTGCTGTAACTCCTCTCAGCCCGTGTTCATCACTCGCCTTGAAATGGGCGCCTACGTCTTTTGATTTGTTCAGCAATGCAAGAATGAGCGATTGAAGTGAAATGAGCACACTTGTCAGGTTGATTGCAGGCTGACTCACTCCCACCTCACGCGTTTGTGAATAATCTGTAGTATTTGAAATGCTTGGAGTGCTGCAGATAAGTGGTCTTCCACAAAAAGACACATAAGAGATTAAAAATAGGAAAAACAAAATGCATGAAAGACCCTTTGTATCCTGTCTTAACATATTGAAAAGCTTTCCAGTGTTCTTGTTAGCTTGCGCCGCACTCTGAATATTTGTTGTTTTTAAACTTAATATTTAATAATTTCCTCCCAATTCAAAACGAATAATGCATCAGCCATTCAAGTAATAATTATTGTCATTTAAAATATGGAGTGAGTCACGTTGTGATCTGAATATTTAGTTGGACTTTCAGTGAAGCTGTGAGTTCAGACAGAAGAACAGCTTATTGTCATTTGAATTAAAAAATAAAGTTTTGATAATTTAAAATAACTATTATCTATATATTCTGTATTTTTTAATGTCTGCCTTTCATGGTTGGAGCGAGCATTAAACAGATTGTGTCTGTGTGCTTAAATATCTGTTAGCAAAATATCTGATGGAGCAGTAGATGGATTTGAATAAAACTCTGAGCAAATAATCAACAACCGATTCACTTTTGGAGTCAACTTAATTTGAGATGACCACCACAGCTCGTTTTAAAAAAAAGACTGAGCAAAAGTTTATTGTGGTAGTAGCAGAGACTGATACCCAACATTTTCTGTATGCTTACATTTTGTGAAAAATTGATGTTTACAATTTTATTAACACTCAATACAAACAGTAATTTAATTTAGTTATTCTTTGGCGATGTATTTTTTCCTAATGTGATACGTTTATTTATTAGTTTATATGTATAACTTTTAAAAAAAACATTTTGGTCATCCAGCTACTTGCATTTGTTAAAAATGATATGCCTCAATAAAAAATAAAAAATCACTATCTTGAAAGTACTAAAGATTATAGAAATATTGTAAACTTCTCTAAATTAAATGACGAATACTTCACAACCTCTCACACTGACTTAATGTACAAACAGGAAGTAGAATTATCACCTTTTTGACGGAGCCACAAAAAACTGAAAATGCAAAAACTTCATAAAAGTAAAATTTCTTGGAGTACAATTCATCCAAACTGGAGGAATGTCTTTTACTTTGCAACTTCATTGATGACTGCTTTCTTCTTTAGTGCTTTATTATTTACTTTTTTATCAAAACTAACAGACGATTGTCATCCTACAGGATGTGAAGGCCATCGTTACCCACTCCATCCACAGTGCTATCCACTCTATAGGAGGCATCCAGGTCCTGTTCCCACTCTTCGCCCAGCTGGACTACAAACAGCTCAATGATAGCAGCGTGGACACAACCGTCTGGTCAGTGACCGACAAGGAAACTAAAATAAATGTGTGAAAAAGGTGAAAGGTCGGTTTGGAGTCGTTGCTTCAGCTGTTTTATGGAAAAGAGCAACTTGAGAAAACAAAAAAGTCTATGAGTGACTTTAATTAAATACAGTATATGTTTATGTGCTGTGAGAGACATTTATCTTCACATCAAAGACCAACATTCGACAAACCTGCTGTGAGACGCTTAATATTAAAGGAAGAAATGTGAGGGTGAAAGTACACGGAGAAATAGTTTTCCCTGCAGTGAACTGCAATTTATTTACTTATTTATTTACAAAGTATCTGTTCTCCTCCAGCTATGAGATCATCCGATACCGGTACATCACATGAGGCTTAATGCAGTTACTTATCAGGCAGCATCTCCACATCATGTCAACTGCAGACAGATTATTTATGAAATCTCATCAGGAGGATGAAGATAAGAAAATGCAGCTGCGCATTAAAAATAAATGACGAGGAAGGTGAACGTGGGCGTCGAGAGTTGTGAAGAGACTGGTGGCGCAAGTTTCCATCGCCTCCTTAGTCGCATGCTGCAGTAATAATAATTTTTAAAAGTACCGGTATGCCAAAATTCAACAATGATTTTCACGTTAGTGAAATGTGGGCGTACAATTTTGTTTGTTGCAGTGCTACTCTGTTGGCGTTCCTGGTGGAGCTGCTGAAGAGCTCGGTGGCCATGCAGGAGCAAATGCTGGGAGGGAAAGGCTTTCTGGTGATTGGATACCTGCTGGAGAAGGTCAGTGAAGAGACCTGCAGAATGAAGAGCTGATCTGTTAGTTGCTGGGTAGATTAGGAGACCTGCTGTATTTATTTATTTTATTTTTTCTATCACTTGCTCTTATCAAGGCTTTTAAGGCCTCAAGTTTTATAATGTTCCTCTCACTATTATTATGTTTTCAATACTGGTTATTTGTCAGGGCTAAAAACAAACTTGTTTATTCAAGTTATCCTTATTATTATGTTTTAGTTAAAAATGAGTGAATTTAGCATCAACTTTCCAACACAGTTCAAATGGATTCCAAACATGAAAAGCTCTTAAAGTGCATTGATTACAGGAGTAATGAAGTTTTTCTTTTTGTACCTTGTGATGAAGGTGAATTGTCAGCAAAAAAGATGTTCATGGGGTTTTGGCTTGATTTTATCTGCTGTGGAAAGAAAGATGTGCAAAAACTAAAATTTGGAATAAAAATTAACGCTTGATTAATTTGAATGTTACAATGAAAAAGCCAGGTGGAAAAAGGAATTAGAGGGATAGTCTGCTGATTTTTTTGAAGTGATACTTTGTCAAATAGTTTCCAGTAGTTTGTATTTTCAGTTTCGACTTCAGTCATAGAGCATAAATTATGAAGAAAAGGACAAGTCTTCGTCCAGGCTCGACTAATGGCTAGTCAAACATGGACTATTTTTATTTATTTATTATCATTTTTCAAGTTTATAAAACAACTCTTTCTCACAAAAAGCTGTAACAGTGTGAAAGAACGCTGTTTTAGCCAAAGTTAAGCTTTTACACTTTTGCCTGAAACCGTTTCAGTTTGTTACTACAGTAGTCCCTCATTTATCGCAGGGGTTACGTTCCAGACCCGCCCCCTTCAGTAAATGAAAATCCACGAAGTAGTGACGGTATATTTATTTTAGTATTTATATATATTTTACAGCTTTAGAAACCCTTCCCACACTTGCAATGTTCTAAACTCTAAAACCTATGTGATTTTAACAACATATGTAGCTACTAAATTTTACTTACCAGCGCGTCTCCATTCGTAAATCCTCGTGGGCCGGCTGCCAGATCTCAGATTCACCAACAGGTCTGGAAGTCTGGTTCTGCTTCTGTTCGGTGGGTTCCATGCAGCTCTCTGCATCCACTGGGCGCCCAAGTCACTGTAATAAGCACCAAACTTTTTCTGATCAGATCAAAACTTTCCCTCTAATATTTCAGCAAAAAGTAACTAGGCTTCTGGGCAGGGCCTTGCTGGCTTCTGGGAAATGTAGTTGTTATGAGCAGAGATACAGTATAGGCTTATTGAGAGAAAACTACAAAATGGCAGCGCTTGTCCGAAGTATTTTATTTTTCGTTAACTTTTTACTGTACAGTATCCCGTACTGCCCCAATCACATGAGTAGTGTTAAAGTTGATAATCACGTGTCTTGTACAAATGTTTTTTGTGTCAATCTTACTTTGAAAAACGCGAGAGAGCAATCCATGAAAGTCGAACCGTGAAGTAGCAAGGGACTACTGTATCGTCTAAACTGAACAATATTTATGCTGCTACGCTAATGTGTGCATGCTGAGCGTAGTTTAATATTAGCTAATTCTTTCTCACTGGTTCATTGCTTTTAGGAAAGAGTCGTTTTATAGCCCTGAAAAACAAACAGATAAAAAGCAGACATTTGTTTGGCTAACCATTAGCCTCGTCTGGACACAAACTTTTGCCCCTTTTTATTTTTTTATATATATTCTGTGCTCTGTGACTAATATTATGGCTGTTAAGGTACATTTAAAATATCAGAAATGTGTTCAACGTTGCATCCATCAGTGTATTCAGTAATATATCAGTTATGGTAATGTTCAATGTTTCCAAGCTGTATTCTTAACATTAGGGATGTAATTATCCTGTTTCTGTGGAAAGCTAAAGTTTTTTTTTTTTAACTGAAGATCTTGTTTTTGTTAAAAATAAACAGGATTTATGTGACTATCCTGTCAGTTTACAGTTTATTTGTGCTACTCTGTGCAGTCATCACGAGTTCACATCACCAGAGCGGTCCTTGAACAGTTCCTGTCGTTTGCAAAGTATCTGGATGGTTTACCTCACGGCGCGCCGCTTCTCAAACAGCTCTGTGACCATGTCCTCTTTAACGCTGCTATCTGGATACACACTCCTGCCAAGGTCTGTTTATTTTTATGCATTTCCTTCAAAAACGTGTAATTCTTGTCCCTCTGCACCAAAAATAAAATTGTGAGCTGCAGACATCTTATTTTTCTACTATAGCTTCCAAGACATTTTGACTGAATTCCTATTTGAAGATAAGTAAACAAATAGGAAGGCAGGACTGACATCTCAGTAGCCATTACCCTTTACAGTAATTTAATAAATGAGGTTGGAAGACATGCAGGGAGGGAAAAAGACAAAACATACAAGAGATGGAAACAAAAAGACGAAGTGACATTTGAAAAGAGCCCAGAAGGAAAGCGAGAGAGCAATGTGCAGCTTCTCTTGCTCTTCTCACTCTGAAGTGGATGTGAGTGTTTGTGGCATTCCCGCAGGGCCCGTCAGTTCTTGCCTCCACAGTGTTCAAAACTTCCCGACTTCCTGTCATCCCGCCTCTGACCCTAAGAGGTGATCGGGGCACAGCAACATCTCTCTGCAGCGAGTCAAAAAGCTGGATTAAAAAGGAAACAGTTGATTTGATTCTGGAGTCACTATTTGACGTTGTTAAAAACAGTAATATTGTATACAGTAGTCTCTTGTTTATCATGGGGGTTATGTTCCTGACACCCCTACACACACAATAAGCGAAAATCCACGAAGTAGGGGCGTTATTTTTTTTTATTTTTTTTATTTTTTTTAAGGCGTTATAAACCCTTCCCACGCTCTTGCAATGTTCTAAACTCTTAAACCTATGTAATTTTAACAACATATGTATATGTACTGCACAGTAGCAACTAAACTTTATTCACCAGCTCTGCAGAACAGCAGCTCGGTTCCAGCTCAACTCTGTTCCATTTCGGCAGACCTACCATACCCTGCCGGACTTGCCCTGCTGGTTCTTGTCAGCTCTCTGCAGCCCTTGAGCACTAAAATGCTTTTGGACCAAAGCCGGACATTCAGATGGCCAGCACGGGACCACACAGTGTTCAAGATTGAGTCCAAATCCTCCAGGCGGTACCTTCCTGCTCGGAAGGCCTCGTTTGCCAGTGGGCAGCACTCAGATACACCAAGGAGTCTGGAGGTCCGGTTCTGGTCCAGTTCCCAGTCGATTCCATGCGGCTCTCTGCATCCGCTGGGCCCCCAAGTATGAATAAGAACCGAACTTTTCAGATCGGATCAAAACTTTCCCTCCATTTCAGCAGAAGTCAACAGGGCTTCTGGATGGGACACTGTTGACTTCTGGTAAATGTAGTCCTTTCGAGTGGTGATGCAGTATAGGTTTATTGAGAGAAAACTACAAAATGACGTCACCTCTCCCAAGTGTTTTTTCATTAACTTTTTACTGTATCCCGTACTGTCTCAATCACGTAAGTAATATTAAAGTTGACAGTCGTGTGTCGTGTACATTTTTTTTATGTGTGTGTACAATCTTACTTTGAAAAACTGCGAAAGAACGAAACGTTGAACCCCGAAGTAGCGAGAGACTACTGTACATCCTTATAGTTAACACAGTGCATTTAAAAGAAAGCTGGACTAAGTGACTGCCTTTTTTTTAAAATCATTTTTCTGTGTGCGTGTGCAGAAAATAAAAAAGAGTTGCTGGCAACCATGATCACACTTGGGCAGGTTTATAATGAGAACAAGCAGAATAAATGTACTAACCAGCAAAAGACAGAGAGGAAAAATAAACAAACATTTTTATTAGTTTAATCTAACCTCTGTTCCATTCTGCGTCCCACTGAGATTTATTATGTTTTACTTCTGAAGATGATCATCACTTGCACAAATTTAGCCTTGGTCATATTCACAACTTAACTTGAGGAAATCACATCTGAGCTGCATTTCTCACAATACCCCCCCCCCCCCCCTCCCTCCTCACTTTGGGAACAGAGACACACTCCTGGCAAACATTGTCCTTTCAGGGACGGGCAAATGTGTTTCTTTACAACCTGCAGCCAAACTGTTTTGTAACGATCAGAGACTATCAGACTTTTTGTTCTACACTAGAAAAACAGCTCAGTGAGTGAAATGTAATGGAAGTCCTTTAAGTGCTCTCTCTCTGGTCTAGATGAGCTGTGTGATGTGATTTGGTGGGGCCGCGGCCTTGTGTTAATTTCAGCCGCTTAAATAGAGCTACCTCGTTAAGGCTGCTCCTTAGCATAGTGCTCACAGTAATGAGCTCAGAGATTTGTAGGCAGGTTCAACTCAGCGAACGAGTGACTAGAAGGATTGGTTTGAGAAATATTAGAAAGAAGGAAGGAGACAAAAGATGGAAAAAGCAAGTGAGATATGGAACTGCCTCAAATGTCAGGGAGTGTGAGAAGTTGATCAGATAAGGGTTTTACACCCAGAATAATTAGAAATAAATCAAATCATTGATGTTTTGAAGTAAAGTGATAATTTAAACATTTTAAATTGTGGTTCTGCAGAAAGAATATGAATAATTCCTATCTTACCTGTTGCAGATAGCTCTTTGTGTTACCTTTATTAGACATAAAGTTGAATTCTAACTGGACTAATGGGCTATCAGCTAGTCTGAGCGAGGACAAGATGAAACCTACTTTGCTCTTGGTCCTGCTTGGACAAGCTGTTAGCTCATCTATTCTGTCAGATTTAAAGTCTTTTTGCTAAACTGATGCTAAATAAAGTGGATTAGATATTACTGTTCAAAATATTAAAATAAAAGAAGAAAAAACTGAAAAGATTTGAACTATTGTATAAAGTCCCATCTTCAGTTAAACTACATTAGTTTGAACTCCATAAACAACAATTGGTAATTTTTTTCGCCTCAGACATTTTCTATTTGTTCTTCTAGTTCTGTTTTTATGGATGTAGCTATGTGCAATACACAAACCAACTGTGTGTTTATCCAGGTTCAGCTATCCCTCTACACATACTTGTCATCCGAGTTCATCGGCACAGCCACCATATATAACACCATTCGACGTGTCGGCACCGTCCTGCAGCTGATGCACACCCTGAAGTACTACTACTGGGCCATAAACCCTTTGGAGTGCAGTGGGATCACCCCTAAAGGTCTCGGTACGTCCACATTCATGCTATTCTTGATCATATAAAAGTATGTGCACTGTAAGATGAAAGAAAAATATCAATCATTATGAATCCTGTTGGAAACCCCAATTGTTACTTGAAGTGACAGAAATAAATCCTCCTGTTTATAAATGTTCCAAAACTAGTCGGAGGCTGTTGAAACTTAATGAAATCAGAATCAGAATTGGTTTCTGACAAGCTAATTTTGATATTTGAAAGCAGTTTTATTGTTTAAAAATGTTATCGTGAACACATTTACCACTCGTTTGGGAACCGAAGAGACAATTTTGCAAACAAGAGGTTGTTTTTATTCACATTTCAGTTAATGTTAGATAAAAACCCAGAGCTTTCCTTGTAGGATCCTTTTTATTATGTTTTAATTTACCAAACAAGTGAAATTGTCCATGCTCTAGTTGAAGAGTTTTGTTTGGTATTAGTTTTTATTTGCTGCTGTTAGAGGAGTCCTTATCTTGTAGAGTTGTCTCAGTCGACACCTTTTAAACTTGTAATGAGAATGCTCAGTAGGTAATGTTTAGTTACCGTGAAAGGAGCTGGAAGACTTTATTCATTTCCTGAAATCTGCACTAGTCTCTCTCCCAAACCAGCTGTTTTAAAATGGCTACTTCAGGCTAGACCACCTTTTGAAACTTTAAAGGATCAACATGTTCAGAAGGTTTCTGCCTTGTCTGGGCTCAAGTTTTGAGAAATATGTTTTCCTATAATTATTTTACCCTAAATGTAATCAGCCTTAAATTTACAGTACCCTGAGGTATATAAAACAAATATTTGCTTAAAGTATAAAATAAAGTCATAGTATTGTAAAACCTAGTTTTAAAATGAAAACATTTACATACTTATTGAATCTGAATATCTACAGCATGCCAATGTAGCTCTGAATTACTTTACAAACTTAGCGGAACATACTAAAATACTTGCTGAACTACATTAAAAATGCTTTAACAGAGAAATGTTTACTCATTTACTGCTCACAGTGTTCAGTATCAGTATAAGATCTTCCTCCAAAATACTCAGAATATTAAGTTCTAGAAACTCAGAAGGTCTTTTTCACACTATATGTTTTCTGTAAGACCTGCAGCGATGGAGCGAAGCAGACCTCTGATATATGAAAATAAATGGGACTGTTAAAACAACAGTCAGTTCAATAAGTTGTGGTAATGCAAAGAGACAAATCGATACAAGGTGAAATAGAGAGGACTCTGCTACTACTATAATCGAGGAGGATTCTTTCAATTGTAATTTACTTTTTGCAAATGAGGTCATTGATTCGATGCTGGATAAGATGAGAAATAATAATAAATTCAAAACATCAAAACTAAGTAAAGACAAAAGGTAATGCTCTATGTCAGAAATGTTTGCTGCTGCAGAAAACATCACTTACTTACAGATGTTCCTAAAAAAGTTTCTGATCTGATAGAAAAATATTCTCAGTTGTAGACCTCAACAACATTACTGTAGTTTTAAACAGTTGCTTTTTGCTATTTATTAAAAGAAAATCCACCCATGTGGCACAGGAATCTAAATAAAAACCAGAACCACTTCCACAAAAGTCTGGTGAGGATGTCAACGTTAACAATATATCAAGCTATGGCTGAAAAATAGCCTAAAACAACTGTACTTTTTAATCTGTTGACAAAAGTTTACAAGCTTTTCTCGTGATCAAAGTGAAATAGTGATAAAGTCAGAATAAAAAGGAAACAGATGCAACGATAGCTCTGTTGTGGTTTCTTAGACACAAATTGATGGTGGGTAGGCCTGTCACGATAACAAATTTTGCTGTGCCATTAATTTTCTCAGAAATTTTTATGATAAATGATAATATTGTTTGAAATTTAACAATAATTAATTGTCTAATTTTAGAAGAAATGTTGATTTGTTTGGTGAGTAGTACCTTTTTTGACCACCTGATGGCAGTATAACACTGTTTGAACCAAAAGATAGATAGTTGAGCAGCGTGTCCAGTGTTGCCAGGTGTACGATAATTATCGTATTTGTACGACAATTTTGCCCTCTGTATGATGTACGATCAGTAGTCCCAAAAAAGGCCAAATATACGATAATTTGACCATTCCGTGAATGTGTGGTTGTAATCAGTTGCCTGTCGCAACTGTCTGTCTGAATTTTTTTGTGAACCCTGAAGGCATCTGTGTCTGCAAACAGATGCACGATTGGCTGGAAATACCAGCCAATCTTGCTTTTCTAAGTATTACCTACGAGTGACGTGTATGCGTTTGCCTCAGAGCAATGGCCATGATTGGCTGTATAGTCTGCTGCGCCCGCCCCATGAGTGAGGAAAAGAAAAAAGAAAAGAAGAAGAAGAAGCAGAGCCGGTCTGGAAGCGGACCCATCACTACTATAGTGCATTAATAGATTTGTTATTCTGGTTATGACGGATGTATGATAATTCAAAATACGAAAATTTTTATTATTGTTCTAAAAAAGTTAAATCTGGTCCTCTGGACTTTCAAAAAAAACAAAACAAAGCAAAACAACAAAAAATGTAGAAACGTTTCGTCTCTCGTCCGAGAGACTTCTTCAGTCTGAGGTGCTGTTTTCAGCTCAGTCTCTTAAATAGCACCTTCTCAGAGTGGATCAACCAGTTTGCTGCTGACAACCAAAACCAGCTCATGCTCAAGAAGGACCATCAGCCTAACAATGGATCATTAGCACACTGATGGCTGTTTACTGTTCACAGAGGGCTGAGTGATACTAGCAATCACAGCATTGTAAGAGGGGGACCGTTGAACACGTAGGCCTCCACCCCTGTTTAATAATGGACGGTTTCTTTTCACAAAGATAGACTCCTTTACTCCTCTCTCAAACCATCGTTCCTCTCTATCCAGGATGTGAACATCTTCATCCATAGGACCAGATTTAACTTTTTTAGATTTTTCTACCTGGATTATTGAGCATGCATCAGGATATTTTATTATTGTTATTATTATTATTATATTATTATTTAATAATAATTTTGTCTCTAGTACGATAATCCTACATGTCTAACCTGGCAACACTGAGCGTGTCTCTTTAAGAAAAATGGGAGGGAGGGCCCTTGACGTGACATGGGCTGACATAGTGACATGGCGAACGCTCGGTGGTTTGAACTCTTTAGCATAGCATTTTTCACACAAAGCTTGTAATAAAAAAAATTCGTAAACAAGTTCTCAGCATCTTTTTGCAGAGAAAAACAACTTTTTACACAAAGGCACGGGTTTCAACCGTGAATTTTGGAGCTTTGACAAGACAGAGGTTTATTCCAGAGGTTGGCCTGTTAGCTTAGCTTCTCAGCTTAGCTGCTTATAACGATCCAAAAACGTGATTTTGGATGGTTAAAACAGATTTTAAAGAGAAAGGGAGATGTCAGTGAAGAGCACAGGAGTTGAGCCTTTTGTCATCTAGTGTCTTCAGTAGAAAGAGAGAGACACACGAAGAAACGATAAATCCGGTAAATGAAAATGAGGTTGATAGTTTTCATTTATCATGCTATTAATTGATTTATTGTTTATCGTGACAAGCCTAATGGCGGGTATGTACAAAATGTTCTGTTACGCCATTTCTTGTTAAAAAAGCTTTGCATTTCAAGTCTACCTGTACACACAAAACAGTTTTTAAGTTTTGAAAGTGTCAAGGTTTTCACTTTGGAAACTATATATTTTTGTGAGAGGTGGGAGTGCAGCAGAAGAAAGTTTAGAAAGTATTTGTTTATGTGAACAGGGCCATAGTCCTTATTTTAATGTGAAGAAGAATTTTTTTTTTTCCTGAGTTTACCTGGTTCCCTGCTGTGGGGACACATAGAGTTGTCCAACAGGGTGGAACTGATTTTATCTTTTTGCTACTTCACCAGCAGAATTACACACAAGCTGTAAGTCTGCATCTAAAGGTTGCTTAAAGTAGTGGTCTTCTCCTGACAACTTCCCTCTGAAGGTTTTTGTAGATGACAAACCAGCAAAAGACATTCAGTCTAGATAGAGAAGACATTTTCAGAAACATCCATCCATTATCTTTACCCGCTTCTCCCTTTATGGGTTGCTGGAGTCACTGGTGTCCATGTCCAGCTATTACTGTGTGAGAGGTGGGGGACACCCTGGACAGGTCTCCAGTCCATCACAGGGTCACAAAGAGATGAACAATCATTCACTCTCTCACTCACACCTAGGGACAATTTAGAGTTACCAGTCAGCCTAACGTGCTTGTTTTTGGTCTGTGGGAGGAAACCGGAGTACCCGAAGAAAACCTACACATGCACAGAGAGAACATGCAAACTCCACCCAGAAAGACCCCCAGCCAGGGTTTGATCCGACGGCCTGCTTGCTGAGAGGCAACAGCTCTACCAACTGAGCCACCGTGCTGCCATTTTCTGAAACAATCTGAATTATTTTTGTGTGGAAAGAATATTTTTTGTGATCCTTCAGAAAGCAAAATGGGCACATAAAGTCTATGTATAGAAATGTTCTATACCAATTAAATCCCATCCTTCCATCCATTGTAAAACCATATTTGCCGTTTTAAGATATATTTAAAACAAACAATCGTTCATATTTAAATCGGGGCCAACACAGCTGTTGTTGCCAAGAACCAGAGCGTCAGAAGTTCAGAGTACGCTCTTGCTTTAATCAGCCTCTTCTTTTGCCCTCGACCTGCGGCATCCCACGTTGCCGTGGCAACAGACAAATTTGATGGGCAGATCCGAGGGAGCTTTTGGAATTTCTAATCAAGTGACTGTCTGGCTTCTTTTCTGTTTGGCGATATTGCCGTTTGACTGCTGGGACTCGAAACCATAAAGAAGCACTGATAACAGCAGCACAGCAATTAGCCTCAGACACATACTTTCTGCCATTCAGAGCTGAAAGCTGTTCAGTGTGGTTTGACAGGCTGCATGTGCGTACACTTGACTGTATGGAGGAGTGTGATATGCACTAATTTACATAGTAATAGGAAGGTGTTTTGATCTTGGGCTTTGTGGACAAGAATGT